TCATTTATGTTATAGTATAAATGTTTAGTGGCATATTGGCCAGCAAAAAACTTGCATTTACTAGTCAAGGACATGGAAACAGCGTATTAAAATGACACTGCAAATAGAGGCTTTGTGATTATTTGCCAAGGATACACATATCATTTGGTTTAAATGTTTGTCTCTCATTAGACTAAAGTGCACTTACACAAGATTGCGTAAGTGCAGTAAAGGTTTTATAAGGTTGCATTTTCTCCAACTAAGCTGTATCATACATGTGACGCTGAGTGGCTAAATCACGTAACAACATTACATGACACAACATATTTTGTAATTATCTTTTGTAAGGCAGTGGAACAGGTTCTGTACCAGTAGTTTGATTACACAAGGCTCGAAATTGCGACCATTTTGGTCGCATATGCTCCCGAAATTTAATCCGTGCGACCTCAAAATATATTTGGGAGCATTTGTGCGAGTGCATATAATTGTTGTCGTGCGACATTTACAAAAGAAATCTGTCAGTGTTCTTTTCATTTTCTCTCTTCTTCAGCCCTTTCTTTTTCTCGAGGTAGTTAGCGGAAAGCAGTGACTGAGAGATTGACAGCTAATATTAACCAATACAAAATCTGCATTAAAGTTAAGAATGTAAGGATAAAATCTGTTAATATATAATTTGTAGTTGTGGTGCTCCTAAATTTTTGGTGAGTGCTCCTAAATTTTTGCTGGTGCTCCTAACTTTTTGAAGTTGGGAGCACCAGTGCTACCAAGTAAAAAAGTTAATTTCGAGCCCTGTTACATTATTAAGGTTAAAGCTTATTCTTACATAAAACACTTGAGCAGAGGTTAGTTATATTACAGTATTATGTGACAATAATAATTAAATAATTTTCATTATATATCTTTTCATTACATACACGCACACAAATGAGGTATTATGCATCCAAACATGCTTTTTTTTAATAGTTTACAATGTGCCTGTTTTATATGACAAAATAACACAAAAATACAGTGAGAGATATGAAAATGAAAAGACCAGTAGACCTTTATTATTTTAGACATATAGTTCTACTTCACATCGACTGTGTAATCTGGCAACCTTGTTAAATAGTAAAAATGTCTGTAGTCCAAGCCAGTTCCAAGTTTTGTAACAAAGTTGAAGAGCTGATATTTTCTGAATAACAAAAAAATTCCTTAGACAGCTCAAGTCATCTCATCAATAATACTGCACATTGCAGCATCCTTATCCCACACTTTGTCCTTCTTACTGGGCACATTCTTGTCAGTTTGTGCAACCATGCAGCTAACACCCGTCTCATCTACATCCATAGGCTCGGTTTTCAGTCTGGAGTCTCCAGCTGACGCCGCGCCACCAGCCTCTCCCACGCTGGAGCTGCTGGGTTGTGGCAAATCATCAGGCAGCGAGGCAAGACACCCCTGGATCATCTCCACCACCCGCTCCAGATGCTTCTGGAAACGCTCAGCCGTCTCCAGTCTCTGTCTCTTCTGAACCTCCATCATGACCCGTAGCGTCTCTCTGGCCTGGTGGGGACGGTACTCGTTGATAAGGTGATGTATGTGGACAAAAAGGAGTTTCAAGTCCTCCAGCTTCTCCTCTCGCTTAATGCTGCCTGGGCTTTTGATGAGGATGTCCAGAAGGTCCAGAAAGTTGACCAGGATGGACATATTTAGTTTCTTCAGCTCTCTTTTGTGGTCAAACTGCATAGGGTGAAGGCGCTCGATGCCTTGGCTCTCTAGTGGTCGAATAATGAGATCATCGCATTGGAACTGATTGCCAAACATCATGTAACTGTCTCGAATAGGAGGAGGGGGTTTGGGGGCCAGTCCCTTTCGCACATTTTCATCCGTGTACTCCTTGATGTACTGCATCGGAGGAGGTGGAAGAGCACTGACCTGCTGTGGCTCCCCCATTTTGGAATCTAGTCAGGAAAAGCAAGAAAATAATCAAATTTATTGGTTAAGTTAACCAGTAACATTATTTAATAATGCTATTATTTGTTAATAAATAATAGCATTTCTTGGGGATATATTCTACAAACAACAATCATTTGTTATAAACAAAATTCGCTTTGGAAAAAAAAAAGAGATTCAATTTACAATTGTAAAGTGTACAATTTACAAACTTTGTCCAAGAATATACTTCAGTAAAACAAACATATTGAAAGGCTTTGGTAATGCAGTAAAAGAAAACCTAACTTAGTTTGTCAACAATACTGGTTTAGAAACAGCTAACGTAACAGTTTACAAGCTAAATGCTACGGTTCACCGAATAATGATTCAGAGATTAGCAAAACGACTGATTTTGCAGGACTCATCACTGTAGTATTTAACAAAAAATACTCACCGAAACTGCTGGCTTACTGAACAGAAGTACTGTCAACTACGTAAAAAGATTTTCAGTAAACATAAGCAAAGCGATCAAGCCCTCTTGCATGTTTCGATTCGCGATTTCTTCAGGTCTAAAGATGAATGGAATGCATTGGTGCACAGTCCCTTAGCAACGAGGTATTTCATTGGTCAAAGACGGGTCAGGGCGGGTCCTAAGCAAAGCGTATTCAAGTTTGACTGTTTGATAAATAGACCAGATTTTAAAAAAAAAAAAAAAAGAAAAAAAAGAAAGAAAGAACAAAAGAAATAAAATGAACAAAATGTAAAAAATTTATATTTTAAATGTATTTATTAAAAAAAAAAACATCTTGGCGTTAATGAGAGAAAATTGACATTGTACGAAGTGATGTTCTCAGTTTTGAGTTGCTTGTTTTATTTTTGTTTACATTACTTAAACTTCTTATTTGTTTATTCGTTTGTTGACAGGTTGCCTTTGACGAGTATTTGCTTCAAACAAAGACTGTAGGTTACAAAGGTCAAAGCTCTAAAATGGGTGAGTAACTGTTAAAGTGATGCTTCATTTATCTTATATGTGCTATATTTTATTTTATTGTGTGTGTGTGTGTGTGTGTGTGTCAGATTGCAAAAGTGTGTTTGATAGTAGAAATGATGGACACATTTTTAAATGTTTTGATGCTACATTTCATTTGATAGCAGGTTAAAATTCATTAATGAACCCTTAAAAAATTCAGAATATGGGACAGTTTGACTGTTATATGTCAACAATTGATAACAGAATTAAAAATAAATACATAAAGGAATACATATATTTAAATAAATAATACATAAAATAAAAAAATATATACAGATGTCCATTTTGTATCAATTTAAATCCATTATTTATTTATATGTGCTATATTTTATTTTATTGTGTGTGTGTGTGTGTGTGTGTGTGTGTGTGTGTGTACAGGTTTATATATCCTAGTGGGAACTTAAACCTGAATACACACAGGCTCATGGGGACTCTTGTCACGGTGGGGACCTAAATTGAGGTCCCCAAGGGTATAAAAAGAGGGGTTTTTTTTTTGAGAAAGTAAAAATGCACAAAGTTTCCTGTAAGGGGTAGGGTTGGTGTA